GTGGAATTGTGTGCGAGCAGGACAACCTCCATTTTAACTTTTTTCCCCCAATTCAGTATTCGTTTTCTCTGGTTGTTTGAACATCGTTGGTATCCATATGTTGAGCTTCAAATACTACCCAACAATGGAACAGTTTTTTGATGTTTCAGTGGTGCCTAGTGTTTATAGGTTGCTTCTTTTTTAACAGACCTGTTGAGATGCTTAGTTCATATGGTAAGTTTCCTTCTGTTGTATGCAAGAGCTTGAAAATTCCTCATACACCGAGGAAGGGTAGTAAAGCATACCTTGTTGATAAGAACGAACATTCTAATCCCTTTTGTTTCTTAAATTAGCCAATTACTTGGAGGAGGATGTGATGGATGATCAGGTGGCCGACACAGGAGATGCGCCACCACGTCCACCCAAGTCAATCACCACGGAGTCAAGAAATTCCATACGAAATGCTTCACCGGCTGGCATATGGATGGAGTCCAGTTCCTCTACTCAACGTCTTGATGTGTCACCCAACCATCACTACCACCGTTGTCAATCGCAGCAACCACAACATCAAAAGCAATTTCAAGTCGGACCGCCTTCATTACTTTCTAAACCACGGATCAACAGTTACGGTACAATCCGCGATAAATCGTCCTCTGCAATGGGCCTGAGAAAGGCCCTAACCTCAGGCACAGAGTCGCTGTACCTCTCCATAAGGGACATTGAAAGCGGACTTGCTGATGGTTCGCTTGTTCGACAATTTGAGGTGAGTAAGATAACAATTTTTATCTTCAAAGTTGCCTTTAATTAATAAAGACAGCCGCTGGTTACAAATGCAGAAGGTCGATGTACCTTCCTCCATCATTTTAAGCACGATTTAAACAATTCAGGAAAGATCTTCCCTTCTCTTATTTGTTTTTCTCGTCTAGAAATTGGAACGAGGTGATCCCCATGCCACAACACTTGATGCTCAAATAAATGTGCGCAAAAATCGTTATCGTGACATCTCCCCATGTAAGCCATTCCTTCTACATCGGAGGCCTCAGGAGGCAATGATCCTCTCATTCAATAATAAGTATCCCCACTTATATTGCAAAACTTCTTCCTCAACTTATTTGTTCTACTCTCTTCAGATGACCACACTCGAGTGAAAATTTTGGGTGCTGATGGCGATTACATAAATGCGAGC